CTGCTAACGGTATTGTTTGTTACTAGCTAATAGATCCATTAATTATATATAAAGAAAGCAAATTTATATCTACATATTAATATATAGTACTATGTATAGTCGTAGAAAGAGATTAGAATATAGTCATAATTAGCTAATACAGTACCGCAACGGATAAACCTCAGGTTATCAGTGAAACGTGACTTTACTGCGGATATATTAATATCAAGAACGCCGATCTATCAAAAACGCAACCGCCGATCTATCAAAAACGAAACTTTGCAATAATCGTGTGACCTCCCGACGAACACGAACAACCAGATTTGAATATTTTTTTGTACAGAAATGGAGCAGGATTATAAATACCTCGGTTGGAAGGATTTCGGTGTTGAGTATTTGGAGAATAATTGTGACAAAGTCAGAAAAGTACGCTTCGCTTCATGGTTCGGCCGTACAATTAACGCAAATAGCGGGCGATATGGTTCTATGAGCGACACGTTTCAAATATATAAGCTGGCTTGCGAGAAAGCTTTACGTCGCTCTGCCAAATCTAGTAGTATTCTACGAGAAGCTTATGAAGGATTTTCTAAGATTCCCGACGTATGTATTGTTTTTTATCCTAGCATAATATCTTATATGATGACATTCCATCTATTCTGAGAACCAACTTCACACCACCTCCTCACACCTGAGATTTGGGCCCTGATGGTCGTTCGTGGTGTATGGAGAAATCGGAGATCTGATTAAATAAGAGTGATGACTAATGAGCAGAATGTAGAATTTTCATATATTGACTCCTCTATTTTTATAGAACAAGCAGAGAACGCAATATTTATCAACGGTAGAGGCTATGGAATCAATGGTTGACACAAACTACTATAATCTCATTTTAGAAAAGCTTATTACCGACACTAACATATTTTATACGTTTCAGGTTTCTCTTAAATTCGTAAGCCCAACAGAGGAGAATCCTGTCTTCTCAAACAAGAAAAAAATTGGGAAACGATTGGTAATGCACTCTTATTGTGGATGGTTATTTTTTTTTACTTGCTCTTACTCGATACTTCCGTAGAATGATTTAATTCGAGATGAGACGACCCGCTCGTTGCTATTATATGAGTTGAGGGACCTCTTTGAATCCTTCGATGCCAGCAGTATTGAATGGAACGATCCACTTAGCTTTGGTTGTATCGTTGATCGAAATTCAGACATAATTTTTGGAAAGTTGCCGGAAGAGCAAAAGAGGAATTTAAGAGAAATCATAAATTTGGCATACGATCAATATGAAACAAGCCCCGTTATTTCCGAATTGGTTAAAGTCCTTTTAGAAAAATCAAAGAGCTTGAATAAAAGGGAAATGATGGTTTCGCTCCCGCCCATATCAGCAGATTTCCAAGGAAATGATGAAGAATTTGAAGACATATGCCTGATGCATAGGATCATAGATTCTGTGTAGGTAATTGAGTTTCTCCACCTTAATAATTAACCAATTTCTAATACTCTTATTCTTATAGTCGACATATCTGGTGCTACTTTAATGACGAAAACAAGGCCGAATACACCGAGGGGACATATATCGTCCGCATAGTGTCCAACTTTCTTGATCCACTGTTTTGCTACGAAAATACCAAACTTAAAATTATCTGGTAAAGTTTTAGATGATATGTAAATATGATTTTTACCAGGGTGGTCACATAATGGCTATAACAAGTTCTACATACATAACAGGGCCGAAGAAGTCTCGGAGGCATCTCAACGTCGGATGGATGATTCTGGAGAAATTAGAATTGGACACAAACCCGATTTTCGTGTGAAATCTCCACTGGTTGCCGGTGAAGTGGAAATCTGTCTCATGGAGGCCTCACGTGTTCTTCCGACCGATAAAAAGATTCGTGATGATTGGGATAAGTTGGTCAAGCTTATGAAAGATGCTCATGTGCGATTACTGAGGAAGCTTACTAGAGAGAGGGTTGGAGATGTGAAGGAAATAGAAGAAGATCTTAACAGAGTTCCAGTTTTTGGTATTCAAGTTGCTGGTATGTAATGTCACAATTATTTTTTTTTCACTTAACACTAACCATTTCTACTTTAGGAGGAACCATGGCATGTTGGGTTATGACTATGCCATTTGGAGCCTTTTACTTTGTTCAACGTCTTGGTTCAGTGCAAATTCCCATTAATCGAGGCCAATCTTCACTTGCCGGATTTATGGATGAATTATGGAAGTTAAGGGTAAGGCTATCATCTTTTTACAGAATGCGACAAGTTGGATAAACAAACTCTTGGTTAATTAATAGGATTATTTGTAGGCGTCTCTACGAAACCACATTCGCACCCTTAATGAGATCGTGGAAAAAGTCGAATCGTCTTTATATAACATAGCTTTTGTTCACCACAAGCTCGGGAAGATGTGCCCCTTTACGATGGAGTGTTAGTAACACCACGATCGCCATAACAGAGCTTGCTGATGCGGGTATTTGAAAAGACTGTGTTCTTCTACCATTAAATTTCCACCCAATAATAGGTAAGTATAGAGATATTGTTTGTATCGATCATACTGGCTTTGCTAATAAAGGATTCGAGTTATATCATATCATGTGGTGTGTCTTGTATTGAGATAAAAGTTTATACGTCGATTTTTCTATGCCTTGGCATGAGCTCCGCTCTTAATGTGATGCATGGACACATGATTGAGTATTGATTTGTACATCCCTGAAATAGATTTCATACCTGAAATAGATTATGTAACGACCCAGATATAGAATGACGCATTATCAATAAACCAACTATCTTTCTATCGCTCTCGGCTATGTATGTTCCACGAACTTCTATGTCGATCCCGATGTTGTGTGATTGGTTAATAATTTTCCGATGGTCAACGGTTTTTTAATTATTCTGATTCGATGGACCGCACCGGGAAAATGCAGGAGGCTGGCGAAATAGATTGATCGGGTAATCGTCGTATACATATCCTTACCGATTACATTCCCACGTTTTTTAGCAAAAGTATACGCTATTCTTCTGGAGTAGGACATCGGCTCTAGGAATAAAATCCTAACGGCTCGTCGAATAGTGTTGCTTTTGGATCTCCGCCTATTAGTAAAACACGAAAAGCTTTTTTTTCAATACGAATTGACCCTCCTCCGAATTGACATAGATTAGTTTTTAAAATGAATGCGTCTAAAGGTAAGGGTGGTCGACACGTTCATAATAATTGACAGTTTATTTACCTTTTATATCAATATAGCGATTACGAAGGCCTCGAAGCAAAATCAACGTAAAAAATTACGACGTTACGCAAAACTCCGAAAACAAACTACTATAATAATGAATGAAAACGTCGACACATTAGTTCCGGAAATTTTCTACCCGGCCGGAGAAAGTAAGTAAAGGGGTTGTAAGTGGGTAGCGTAGAGAAATATATAAGAAGCTTGAAAAATAGGGGTAATCATCGTCTTTAAGACAGGTCTAGGGGCCGATTTCACCCTCCCTTACCAAGCTTACTTTACCTTTACCTTTATTCGTCGGGTTGTAATCGACAAACTATTATTATCACCACTTGCGAGGAGAGAAATTACACGCAGGGTTTCCACGATTTTATAATCACTGAGCTGTGAGATAAGAAATAGTTTGCATGTATTCACCCTATATTGCGAGAAATTTAGCGAAGCAGATGCGAAGTTTCATAACTTTTTATGTACCTATATTATTATAAGTCTAACAAGGCTTTATTTTTTCATAGCATAGAACTCAACCCGAGACTCGTAAGATGACCACAGAAGAGATTCGAAATTATATTACGTTTGAATGGATTTCGGACGATTTTCTACCAAGTGACCTTAAACCAAATAACCTTCAGCATTCTTCTGTCTACACGGATCCTCGATTTACCTTTCAAGAAAAATTTCTCGAAAAAAGATGGCAAAGATTGGTCGTTCGGGAGTTACTTAACCAAAAGATACTTCCATCAAATAGTGTAAAAACTGGCACCTTTACTCTTGATTTCAATACGCTTTCTAATGATCATCTTAGTATAGTTTCGGATATAATTCAAAAGAATTTATATGAGGGGGAGTTTAACGATAACGAGAAATCCTTACCACCGCAAAGTATCCAGCAAATTCCAACTTCCTCAGAAATACCAACAAATTTTATGGAATTGTTAGAGTCAGAGGTTTTCAATCACACTAGTTTAGATCCTGCTTCGTATAAGAATCCTTCAGCATTAGTAAAACCTTCTCCAGATAAATTATTGTGGAAAAATTTCGCTCTTTGGGGGTGTTTCGTAATTGGACCTAATTTTATTCAACAACTTCGTCGCCATTGCCGTCATCTCTGGTTTCGGGTGAATCTTACATATCAACATGTCGAAGCTCAAGATAAATCGCTAGAAAGATATATACACGAAACAATTTTACGACACCCGAGTGATAAACTCTATATTGCCGAAGAATCTACAATGACCGTTGCAAGGGGTATTAATCTTAAGGGTTATCAACATATTTTCAATCCACAATGCTTCGTGAATACTTTTGGGGAGACCGTGGTGGATTTTTTTGATCTTAATAATCAAGTAGCCGTAGAAGATGTTAGAATGTCGGTGGATCAATACTATAAACACACTCGCCCACCCTTCGCACCAGTCAAACCAATTTGCAAAGGACTTGATTGAACATTTTGGTAGTTTTGCAGATAGCAATAACCTTACCATATACCACTGCAAACACCGCATCCTCTCACTGCGAAGAACACCAAAAATGCGTTCAAGAATTGATAGAAGGTCTTCAACCACTGTCCGGTGTAGTTAATAAGTATTTCGAACACACTTACCCCGCTTTATATTTCAAGATGAAGAAACTAGATCTTGGGCCAAATGTTCCCAAATCTTTTGGCGTTTTTCCCACAGTTGCAGTTAATTTCAATATAATTTGTCAATTCCACCGTGATATGAAGGATCACCGAAACACCCTCTGTGTAGTTTGCCCGATTGGAAAATTTGAGGGTGGAGAATTAACATTTCCGGAATTAAAGTTGGTCGTCCCGTTAAACAAGGGCAAGCTGTGGCTTTTCGATCAAACTTCCTAGTTCATGGAAATCTCCCGGTTATTGTTGGCATTCGTCACAGTGTCGTATTTTATATCCACAATACCGTGATCAAACAAAAGCGCAAATTCGGCTCTCTATTCGCTGAGTTGGGATAAAGATGAGGTCGAGCAATCACCAAAATATCTCCCACCAACGTTAGATTCTGGAGGTTCTCGAATGAAACCAAAAAATCATAGACGAACGAATATAGGTATGTATATGCTACTTTGTACCTACAGTCAACTCTCCCTAAATGCACGCCCTTGGGAATGAAAAGTTGAGAGCGTGCATTTAGGGATAACAATGAGTGTGCATTTAGGGAGTTTGTATTAGTAAATCACGTGATAACCGAATATAATAATAATCATTGCATAAAATAGCTTGTCTGTCGCATCATATTAGATTTTCTTTCCCTAATATACCTTTCAAGAATATTCGTCATTTTCACTTGTTCTT